TACCCGAAATGAGTGACAAACGGTGACTCACCAGTGACTCACGGCCTACCCGTACCCGTACCCTACCCGAAATGAGTGACAAACGGTGACTCACCAGTGACTCACGGCCTACCCGTACCCTAACCCGAAATGAGTGACAAACGGTGACTCACCAGTGACTCACGGCCTACCCGTACCCGTACCCTACCCGAAATGAGTGACAAACGGTGACTCACCAGTGACTCACGGCCTACCCGTACCCGTACCCTACCCAAATGAGTGACAAACGGTGACTCACCAGTGACTCACGGCCTACCCGTACCCGTACCCTACCCGAAATGAGTGACAAACGGTGACTCACCAGTGACTCACGGCCTACCCGTACCCTACCCGAAATGAGTGACAAACGGTGACTCACCAGTGACTCACGGCCTACCCGTACCCGTACCCTACCCGAAATGAGTGACAAACGGTGACTCACCAGTGACTCACGGCCTACCCGTACCCGTACCCTACCCGAAATGAGTGACAAACGGTGACTCACCAGTGACTCACGGCCTACCCGTACCCTACCCGAAATGAGTGACAAACGGTGACTCACCAGTGACTCACGGCCTACCCGTACCCTACCCGAAATGAGTGACAAACGGTGACTCACCAGTGACTCACGGCCTACCCGTACCCGTACCCTACCCGAAATGAGTGACAAACGGTGACTCACCAGTGACTCACGGCCTACCCGTACCCGTACCCTACCCGAAATGAGTGACAAACGGTGACTCACCAGTGACTCACGGCCTACCCGTACCCGTACCCTACCCGAAATGAGTGACAAACGGTGACTCACCAGTGACTCACGGCCTACCCGTACCCGTACCCTACCCGAAATGAGTGACAAACGGTGACTCACCAGTGACTCACGGCCTACCCGTACCCGTACCCTACCCGAAATGAGTGACAAACGGTGACTCACCAGTGACTCACGGCCTACCCGTACCCGTACCCTACCCGAAATGAGTGACAAACGGTGACTCACCAGTGACTCACGGCCTACCCGTACCCGTACCCTACCCGAAATGAGTGACAAACGGTGACTCACCAGTGACTCACGGCCTACCCGTACCCGTACCCTACCCGAAATGAGTGACAAACGGTGACTCACCAGTGACTCACGGCCTACCCGTACCCGTACCCTACCCGAAATGAGTGACAAACGGTGACTCACCAGTGACTCACGGCCTACCCGTACCCTACCCGAAATGAGTGACAAACGGTGACTCACCAGTGACTCACGGCCTACCCGTACCCGTACCCTACCCAAATGAGTGACAAACGGTGACTCACCAGTGACTCACGGCCTACCCGTACCCGTACCCTACCCAAATGAGTGACAAACGGTGACTCACCAGTGACTCACGGCCTACCCGTACCCGTACCCTACCCGAAATGAGTGACAAACGGTGACTCACCAGTGACTCACGGCCTACCCGTACCCGTACCCTACCCGAAATGAGTGACAAACGGTGACTCACCAGTGACTCACGGCCTACCCGTACCCGTACCCTACCCGAAATGAGTGACAAACGGTGACTCACCAGTGACTCACGGCCTACCCGTACCCGTACCCTACCCGAAATGAGTGACAAACGGTGACTCACCAGTGACTCACGGCCTACCCGTACCCGTACCCTACCCGAAATGAGTGACAAACGGTGACTCACCAGTGACTCACGGCCTACCCGTACCCGTACCCTACCCGAAATGAGTGACAAACGGTGACTCACCAGTGACTCACGGCCTACCCGTACCCGTACCCTACCCGAAATGAGTGACAAACGGTGACTCACCAGTGACTCACGGCCTACCCGTACCCGTACCCTACCCGAAATGAGTGACAAACGGTGACTCACCAGTGACTCACGGCCTACCCGTACCCGTACCCTACCCGAAATGAGTGACAAACGGTGACTCACCAGTGACTCACGGCCTACCCGTACCCGTACCCTACCCGAAATGAGTGACAAACGGTGACTCACCAGTGACTCACGGCCTACCCGTACCCGTACCCTACCCGAAATGAGTGACAAACGGTGACTCACCAGTGACTCACGGCCTACCCGTACCCGTACCCTACCCGAAATGAGTGACAAACGGTGACTCACCAGTGACTCACGGCCTACCCGTACCCGTACCCTACCCGAAATGAGTGACAAACGGTGACTCACCAGTGACTCACGGCCTACCCGTACCCGTACCCTACCCGAAATGAGTGACAAACGGTGACTCACCAGTGACTCACGGCCTACCCGTACCCGTACCCTACCCGAAATGAGTGACAAACGGTGACTCACCAGTGACTCACGGCCTACCCGTACCCGGCCGCACCAGGCGCAAACGGCTACCCGTACCGGCCGGCTGGGTACGGGTCGGGTCATTACAAAATGGCGGACGCGCTGTTGCGGTCCGCCATTTTGTAATGACGCGCGTGTTGAAGTTAGACTTGTAATTGACGTACGCTGGGCAATCTTCGGATATATCATCATCCGCAACACAAGATGCGCCACCGAAGCCTGGCACCGCGACCCAATGGCGTTACAAAGAACACTACAGTCATGTACTCTACCTCATCAATCAGAAACAGCCTCACGAGCTGCACGAGAGACCTGTCGTGCCACTGCCTTGTCGTGCTGTCCCATTTCTCCTGCAAAACAAATGAGGTCGGTGAGCCTCGCAAACAAGAACACGAGAGACGCAGCATTACAATTTTACTTTTTAATGTTTTTACCTACACGGTGACTTTACCGAAAAAACCTAAGAATATGAATCCTTGCAGTCACGAAAGCTTGAAATCTAGAATTACAAACAAGAAGCCCCGTTACCCCAGGTTCACGCTCTGGAGCGCGCTGCGCCCGAGTAGGGGATCATCGGTAGATGTGTGAGAGATGATCTCAGGGGAGCGAACGGCTGAATCAACCTTGCGGAGTGTACGGCTGAATCATTTCCTGGATGCGAGGTGCAGCAAGCCCATTGAAGGCCTTGAACACAAGTAGGAGAATTGACACTATGAGACGTCTCCTTTACCAGTGGCAACATATAGTAGTAGGTTTTTACCTTTAAACTGGTACAAAACTGACACCTTTATACAAGGCATCATGTTTGCAATAACCACAACACAAGCAGTCAAAATGCAAACAAAAGGAAACAACTCTGATGATGGTAATGATATGCACTGTCCTTGAAGTTGATTGGTCCACACCCAAGACAGCTTTTCTTAGAGCCTAGTCTCACATGGTGTTGGACCAGATGACGCCAAAAGGCGCACAACTCAAAGACAGCACACTATCAGAGTATTGGGAGCTCGGGGTAAGCATTGACTATGAGACATCTCCCTTACCAGTGCAAAAATATAGTAGTAGGTTTTTACCCTTTAAACTGGTACAAAACTGACAGCTTTATACAAGGCCTTTTGACGTCATCTGGTCCAACACCAATGTGAGACTAGGCTCTAAGGAAAGCTGTCTCGGGTGTGGACCAATCAGTTTCAAAGACAATGCATACATTATCAGAGTATTGTTTTTTGTTTGCATTTGACTGCAAGTATTGTGGTCAATGTAAACATGATTCCTTGTAAAAGGTGTCAGTTTTGTTGCCAGAAAAAAGGGGAAAACCCCTATGAGTATATGTTTGCTGGCAAAGGAGGTCCCATGATGTAGCTGCTCACCCCGAGCTCTCATTACTCTGATGGTGCGTTGTCTTTGAACTGTGCGCCTTTTGGCGTCATCTGGTCGAACACCATATGAGACTAGGCTCTAAAGAAAGCTGTCTCTGGTGTGGACCAATCAGTTTAAAAGACAATGCATAAACTATCAGAGTTGTGTTTTTTGTTTGCATTTGACTGCAAGTATTGTGCTTAATGTAAGCGTGATTCCTTGCAAAAGGTGTCAGTTTTGTTGCCACAAAAAAGGGGAAACCCCTATGAGTATATTTCGGTCTGGCAAAGGAGGTCCCATGATGAAGTATTGCTTTTGTTGAGCCAATACTGCTGACATTGTTATAATCCCAGAAGGTCGTGGTGGTGGCTGATGGGATGTCTGAAAAAGATGCCCTTGATTTCAATGTGGAAGGGCAGCTACGTGACGGAGGCGTATTGTTGTCGGCTTATTTTTTTCCAACACTTACCGATGTTCCACCATTGGAACCTCATTTGCCAGTAAAAATATGATCATTGGTTTTTCACCCTTCTATCTGGCAACAAAACTGACACCTTTTTACAAGGAGTCATGTTTGCATAGACCACAATACCTGCAGTCCAATGCAAACAAAAAACAGAACTCTGATCATGTAAGCACTGTCCTTGAAATAATCACACCATTAAAAAGTATGCCTGCTTCCAAAGGCATAAACTTACACGTGAAATATCTAAGGCCTAAACCATTTAAATATTATAATGTGTGATTGACTAGGTATGATATTCATTGTATAAATGCAAACTTTTATAGCGTCTTGTGTGTGCAAGCGTATATGTGTATGGCCTCTACAGGTGCTTGCCCAGTCTTGTAAAGACTCAACAGCGGATATTGTCGTAGTAGTAGGTTTTTTCCCTTTCAACTGGTACCAAACTGACACCTTTATACAAGGCATCATGTTTGCAATAACCACAACACAAGTAGTCATAATGCAAACAAAGAAAACACAACTCTGATATTGTGGTCTATGCAAACATGACTCCTTGTAAAAAGGTGTCAGTTTTGTTGCCAGATAGAAGGGTAAAAAAACCAATAATAACTTACCGGCGTTGTCAATATTATTTGGGCATTTTGTATCTCAAAAAAGTCATCGACATCCGTGTCTCCGGTCAGCTCTTTGCACTGAATGCCCAGTGCTCCGAACTTGTTCTGCCAGTCTTCGAATTTCTCCCGACACAGTGCCTTGATGGGGGCCACTGGGGGGGGGGGGTAGGCGTCACATTCATGCTCAAGCAGGCCGACATCAAACGCGCTTTGCTGTTGTACGAATACAATACCGTGTGTGGGCAATTGCAACAATGTATCATGCAACGATTAAGAGACGTACTTACCAGTGGCGGCTCCTGCAAAATCTCTCAGGGGGGGCAAATGTCTCGATGATTGATAAGGATAAGGTCCACCCATGCAATGGATAAATTAACAGCTTAAGCATGTAAAGGCAACTTCACTTCTTTAATATTAATGAAAATAAAGTGACTCTTACAATACATCTTGTTTGTTTCTATACTCACTATTATTACAATCCACTCAGTTTCTTTTATTAAAGATTCCACTAGGTGGCGACAAATAATATTGTTGGATGAAACGTGCTGACGTATGATGACGTAAGCACGTTAGGGCGAGCCCTCCCGGAAGCCGTAGAGAATGCTTTGCAGCGCCCCCCGTTCGAAAAAAAACATCTTTGAATGTAAGTCTATGGGAACACTCGGGGCGATTCTCAGCCGGAGTGAAATCGCCCAAAAAGAGGCGGTACTCCACAGAACGTGACATGACGCTGATTGGACTATATCCAGAGGCACAGTGACGGCTAGCGTGACTCTGTGGTTGAATGACATTGGTGGTGCGTCGCCCAATCGCCCTAATGAAGAAACCGCCCTGCTCATACACTCACTCACTCATACACTCACTCACTCATACACTCACTCACTCATACACTCACTCATACACTAACTCACTCACACATTCACTCATACACTCACTCATACACTCACTCACTCATACACATTTACTCACTCATACACTCACTCATACACTCACTCACTCATACACATTTACTCACTCATACACTCACTCATACACTCACTCATACACTCACTCATACACTCACTCACTCACTCATACACATTTACTCACTCATACACTCACCTCACTCATACACTCACTCATACACTCACTCACTCATACACATCACTCACTCATACACTCACTCATACACTCACTCATACACTCACTCATACACTCACTCATACACTCACTCATACACTCCGCCCCTGCTACTTACTATAGATCACTTTCGCATTGCAGCAGGGTCCTTGGCATTCCATTAGGAGACGAATGATGGCCAGCTCAAAAATAACAGTCTTTCCAGAGCCAGTCGGAGCACAAACCACTACAGGTCTGTTTGTGTACAGAATCTTAATTTTGTGAAAAAATGTAAGACAAAGTGTTGTTAAACATCGTATAAAGTCATCTCCAGCATTCATACGAGGTACTGTCATTGCCTCTTGCAAGTTGTGCAAGTGTAATCAATTCGGCAGAGTTAGTCACAGCCAATGTTTTCCCTGCTCAATTAAGCATTGAGGCGGCGTTAAGTTGGGGACAAGTCTGTCTCTCCATTGGGTAATCGCTGCCGACTCAGCCACAAGGTGGTACTCATTTTAGCAACCCCGGTAGGATGATGGGGTGAGTCAACCCCCAACCTAGATTTGAAATCACAAATTTGGGATTGTGAGCCGCTCATTCTGTGGTTCAGTCACCTCATCATAGCACGCTGATGCTTGCATCACATGCCTGTGTGATTACCCAGAGCAATCTTACACGTCGTAGCCTTATGACCATTTCACTTAGTAATGGCCATTAATACTGGTAGGAACCTCCTGGTTACACCAGCCCACAGGGGATTATTGTGTCCGTCGTCCGTCCGTCCGTCGTGCATCCACAAATGGGAGGGGTGGGGCTGGGTGGAGAGGGGAGGGTGGGGAGGGGCTGGGTGGGGAGGGTGGGGGGGGCTGGGTGGGGTAGGGGCTGGGTGGGGGGGCTGGGTGGGAGGGGGTGGGGGGGGCTGGGTGGGGAGGGTGGGGTTGGGTGGGGAGGGGCTGGTCACCCCGTGGTGCCCTTATAAAACTCAACGTTTAACCTACTCACGCCGGCTCATATTTGCGGAATACACCACGCAGCCGTTGACCCTGCAGGCCATTGACAAAGCAACCCAACGTTCCTACCAGCTCCCTCCGCAGCCGGAATGTGTTATCAACCTTCTTGGTTCATTCCACAGACATCGTCACAATCAGTAGTGAAGATGTAGAGCACCGAGCAAAACAAAACTGATTCTAGATTTGAAGTTTTCGTGACTGAAATGATCCATACTCTTTGGTTCTTTCGGTAAAGTCACGTAGGTGAAAATAATAAAATGAAAAAAAAAATGAAAACTAAATTAAATCACATTTAATTTTGTCGTTTTCCATTAAATGTGATTTAATTTATTTTTTATTTTTTCCTTTTTATTTTATTTTAATTAAAATAAAAAGGAAAAAATAAAATTTTTAATTAAAATAAAATAAAAAGGGAAATTACTCAATATTATTTCATTTTATTCTTATTAATTTAATTTTTGTTATTTTTATTATATTTTTAATTTTCACCTACGTGACTTTACCGAAAGAACCAAAGAGTATAAAACAAAACTGGTATCACTGCACACAAATCAACCCGTAAGTTACACGTTTGTTTAAGTGTAAAATGTCATCTACTCACGTCATTCATGACACGAGACTGAACCAAGTTGAAGAAAGGAAACTCCTTGAAAATATTTCTGTAAGGCAACGCTGAAGATAAGTTTAGGATAACATCTGTTTAGGATTATACATTCCCATGGAGATAATAAGTATAACCCGTAAAAACAAAGTTTTTCACTCTAAATCCTTTATATGCGTGGCGGCTAGAGTCCTCTCGTCCTCTGGCTTGAGATGGCTGCCACCTATGGGTCAGATGATTGTCTGCCAGTATTAAGCAATTGGTAATTAAATATTTAATTTGTTTTCCCTAAACAGTGTAAAATTTTGGAAAAAAATTTTCACGAACATTAATTGTCTCGCACAACGAGTCTGTGTGCAAAATGTCAGCTCGATTGGATCACGGGAAGTGGGTTAAAAAACGACCGAAAGGTTTGCACGGTCGTAAGCAAGCAGCAAGCACGCAAGCAAGCAAGCACGCGAACTTAATATAAAGGATTTAAAAATTAACTCACAGCGACCTAAAGCCTACAGCTCGGCCTAAAGCCTAGAACTCGGCCACAAACTCTCCCTTCGTATCGTACCCCCGCGTGTGTGAAAGGGAGTTAATGGTTAACAATGTTACATTCCCTCATGTTTTTAAATAGAAACATTTAAATTTCAAGCTTTTACATTAACAATTAAAACATTTAAATTAAAAATTAACTCACAGCGGCCTAAAGCCTACAGCTAGGCCTAAAGCCTAGAACTAGGCCTCACACTCTCCCTTCGTATCGTCCATTAGGTGTAGCAACATCGCCCCCTACTGCAAACACTTGGCAGGACCCTACAAAAACCTTTAGACTCAGTGAGGCTTTCGTGGCTAAACAAGTGTAATAATACATTGTGTTTATATTCTTTGGTTATTCGTTCCTACCAGCCCATCCCGCAGGGTCCTGTTACATTTCCATGGAGAATAAGTGAGAAAAATTTGTATTTTGCTACTTAATGTAAAAACAAACATGTGTCTATATAAGGAAATTGTATATTCCCATTTTGTTGGGGTTACTATTGTCGTCACGTTTGTTTACCAATGAGAGTCTCACTGAGTCTCAACACTTTTTCAGAAAGCATAAAAAAAATGTGGTCATAAAAACACACAATGTCACACAACCCAGCAAATATTTTGATTATTGTGGTTTCATTGACGTTATTGAGTCAATAATTTCAGCACAAAAAAGCAAAGTCTTGTTGAAACTCAGTTCTGGTGAGCGAAATGCCAATCTTGCAGGCAAGGGCGCTCACTTTATATGATAGATTTTAGTTTTTGTTTTAAAGAGGCAATCTCAAAAAGGATACTAATTTCAGAAACTGATCGCATTTGACTGATACTAAAGTCTTCTGAGTTTTCTGGAAAAAAAGAGATGCATTGATAGCATACAAATGGTATGGAGCAAAAATACACGTTAAATTAACAAAACATATGAGAAGAGCAGAGTTGGACAAGGAGACATGTTTTTGTCAAATGTTACACGCATCAATATTAGGAAACATTTCTGAAAGCTTGGATTTGATAAATGAAAGTGTACAAAATTAACGGATACAATATTCACCATCTCAGATTTGCTGGCGAAACCATCTTTCGAACAATCGATGGAAATTAGCGATAGGAGATTATTGAAAAGCTTAATGAATAACACTGCAATGTTAGGTTCTAGATAAATATGATCAAACTCCGGTGTGTTTAACTTCTCATAAATGTGCATTCTTTTCTTTGGATGCAGTCAAGTTCCTTACGTGAAATTATATTCCATTAAATGAGGATCAACTTTCTATTTGCCGATGCTATAGGAGCCGTCCATAAATGACGTCACAAAAAGTCAGACCCCCCTCAAATATGACGTCTCAAAGCTCTGCCCCCCCCCCCCCAATTTTTTTAAACATGCTTCAAATCACTTTCAATTATTGTCATTGTAGTGCTTATTTAATGTGGCGCTGCACTCTGATGTTGTAGGAGAAAACATTTATTTAAAAGTCTATTTAATGAAGTAGAACGTGTTGTCTATATTTAATTAAAGTTGCGCATTTTGATGTGACGTCACATTTCTCACACCCCCCCCCACCCCCTCGTCACACATCGTCACACATCGTCTGACCCCCCCTCCCCCCCCCCCTAGGTGCGTGACGTCATTTATGGACAGCCCCAATGTGCAGGAGAGAGAGGCAAACTGGTGTGTATTGTGCTGTGTGCAGTAGTGTCATCAGGGCAGGCACAAGGTTAATGAGCTTCCGTCAGGAGAGATTTGAACAACCTGTGTTGAGATACGTGATGCATCATTGGAACCTCATTTGCCAGTAAAAAATATGATAATTGTTTATTACCCTTCTATCTGGCAACAAAACTGACACCTTTTTACAAGGAGTCATGTTTGCATAGACCACAATACCTGCAGTCATAATGCAAACAAAAACATAACCCTGATAATGTGCATTTTGTGGCGTCATCTGGTCCAACACCCATGTGAGACTGGGCTCTAAGGAAAGCTGTCTCGGGTGTGGACCAATCAACTTCAAGGACCATGTGAGACTGGGCTCTAAGGAAAGCTGTCTCGGGTGTGGACCAATCAACTTCAAGGACCATGTGAGACTGGGCTCTAAGGAAAGCTGTCTCGGGTGTGGACCAATCAACTTCAAGGACCATGTGAGACTAGGCTCTAAGGAAAGCTGTCTCGGGTGTGGACCAA